GTGTTAATAGAAAACTGTAACCTGAATTTATGTTAAAGAAAAATGCAAACAGTATAAGCCCACAGTGTATACATGTACTCCCAACACAATCAATTAAAATTATAGTTGAAACAATATTAAAACAATTTAACTGGAGTGATGGATTGGGACAACTGCCATAAGAAACCTCTTTGCCTAATTCTGAAGATTTTTCAGACACTGACCTCTTTGTCTGTTGTATAATCCATTGTAAACTGTTTGCACTGCAATTGTTAGGTCTGGGCATGAGAACGTGAAATCTGGGCAGAAAAGGGAGACATGCCCATTGACAAAGGCGTAATTTGCTTGATACATTTGCAAAAGCCTTTTACTTGGAACTGCTAGATTTCATTAGTCAGTAAACAAAGCAGCTATTGATCTGCTCAAGGCCCTGTCTAACTATTTTCTTTCTTCAGATATACTTATCTTCTCCTTGGCCTTATTCCGATAATGGTGCAGGGAAAGCAAGTTGTCCAGATGAATCAGACCTTGTCCTACTTTTTTCTGCAGTTTCTGAAAAAACTTGTACCTGCATGAAATGCCAACCTTTTGGCAATGCACTCCAATACTGACTGCACAAGTTTGCTATTCCAAAGTACATGACACAACTTCCTTCCCCTAAGCAGTAAATGGCACTGGTCAGATTCCCCAAGGATGTCACTGGTTAACTGCTAACATTGTAGGGTTCTCATAAGCCACTACTTACATTGCTCTGGAGATGTTTGACCATTTTTAATCAAGCTGATTGGTGAACACCTATTTGAATTATGAATAAAAATACAGTATCTGAATTATTTACCTCTATATTATGCTTCTAACACTTTTTATACAATGCATCTATTAATCATTTTCTTGCTGCAGCCATTGTCAAACAATGTTTGATTTGATTGAATCTTTTTTCTTATTTTATTGTACAAAACCTCATCATACATGAACTTATTAGTGCACAATTCCTTCTCAAATAGATATGGGGGCAGTATCTGAAATCCTGGATGTTGCTTAAATTGTCTGTTCACAGTTAACTAAAAACGTGCCATGTAAGGAGTAACCAATACAGAACTGCAACATTTTCCTCCCCTCCCCCCCCAAGAAAAGATAATGAGGTGGAAAACAAACTGCTCTCATGTCCCTTTCAACAGAGTGAAAGCCAAGATCTCAAGTGTTAGCAAAAAATGTTTTCGTCCTTAGAGCACAAAACACAGAGAGAGTTTTGGAAAGCAGGGAAAAGAGGAAGGGTAGCTAAACATTGACTTCTGCTGTCAAATTAATATCATGTCTCAACCACTCTCCAGCCATGGCACACTGTTATTACATTAAACATCTTCCATATTTTCGTCACCCTTTCCAAAGTTCACCAATTTGCACTGGGGAGTTGCTCCTGTTGCTTGGAATTAGACTGCTGCTGGCATCAGGAGCCACTGTTCAATATGGGTAACTGGAGAAAGAATTCTAAAAAAACCTTTTCATTTTGGAACTGTATAAAGAAAGGAAACTGTCGTGGGAGGAGGTATTGCTGCACAACAGTATTTGCCAACCTTTTCTTAAACTCAAGAATGTAGTTATACCACCTCTACAGACTCCATACCAATGAATCTGACTTAGGAGTCTGAACTCGTCTTTTCTCAGAGAGTGTACCTTTAAATTCCTCATCAGTTCTCCGCATGTAGTCATAAATTCTATTCATATTTATTTAGAACATTTCTGTGCCACCTCTCTAGGAAGCCTGCTCAAAGCAACTTACAAGTAAAAGATGATACAACACACAAAAAACTCTGATACAGAAGCCACATAACAATGCTATTAAAAGACAGATTATTATTTCCAGCTGAAGCATCAATCAATGTGGAGGTACACTGAGAGGCAAAATAAATAAATAAATAAATAAATAAATAAATAAATCCCAGAGACAACACAAAGATAAGTGACAAACTGGGGAGGAGAATCTGTGAACTATTATGCCAGTTCTTTGATGTAGCTCCCTACATAATAAATATGAGCTAAGAGGAAAGGTGGGGTAAAATATTTTAACAAAAACAATCACAGTGCTGAATATGCACAGACAGTATTGTGTCATAATACGCTTCTCATATACATTTAAAGCTATGACTTGAGCACTGCAAATCATGTTGACTGCACCAGGATTTATGCTTGGGGGGGGGGGAGGAATATTGTGATTGCGATGTCTCACAGTGTTGGGTATGTGTGAAGAGCTAGCTTGTCCTGATCCAGGCATCTCAGTGTAAAACCCATCTCCTCAAAAATGGAAGTCTATGATAACTAGAAAATGTTCAGATCTGGCTCTAGTCTGCTCTTGGGGATGGAGAGTCCATCTTGGAAAAAGAAGGGTAGCCCAGTTCACAAGGGTCTCAGCTCCCAAAATGCACATCTAAGTCCTAATGGGTTACTCCTTAGCTCTCCAACAGGCCAGGGCAGAGATGAAGTGCCCATTACTCTGCCTCTATAAGAAAATCAACCTTCTTAACAAAATACAAAAAAAAAAAAAAGACCTGTTCTGCATCTTTACTAGAAAATGCTGAGAAACAGTGAGGTTGTAACTGTACATACATTTTCTGTTGAGATTCAGAAATGGTTTACCTCAGGACAGCATACTTCTCACTACTTGCCCAGCCCTCAAACAAGAAAGTAGCCATCACTAGACATGTGCATTTGCACTACCAGTAAGATGTGTACTGTTAAGGACTGCTGAAAAAAATCTCTGCAAAGTGTACAGTGTTGTTCCATGTATAGAAAGTACTTATTAAGGCCTTGTACTTTTTGCACAAATGCTAAAACAAGAGACAGACAGAAAGAAGAGTTCATCTACAATGATTAATATCTGGGCTATTTGATTAGATGAACCCTGGAAAAAACTGTCTTCTTCATGGAGCTCTAATGTGAGCAAGTGAAGAAATCCAGAAGTGGAATCAGGGACAAGTCTCAAATTGAGGTATTAATTACACCAGCTACTTAAGAAGTTCTCAAGTAATTTGGTTCACTATTCCCATAGTACATTAATACAAGACAGTAGTAGCTGTACAAACCAGCGATCTACTGAAGTTACCCATAAAGGTTATTCTCAGTGGACCCACCCACACTTACAATATTGCCAAAACACACGGTCTCTCGACAAAGTCTGAACATTCTATCCAACAACAAAATAATCTTGAGTATCCAACAAAGCAAATAATTTCACACATACTAGTAGATAACTGCAATGTCAGCATCAAAACAAGAAAACACATAAAAGATGTGTAATTTCAGTACAGGACTAAGGCCTCTTACAAGAGGTCACCAAAATACTTAGTCTCTCACAGGTTTCTTTGTGATGCCTAGAAAAACATCAGCAGCAGATGACCTGTGTTGCATCCAACACAGTCACATGGAAAATTCAAACGTTTGTTTCCAAATTTTCACAAGCTGTTAATGCCAACATTTCTATTAGGCAAAGTGAATACAAAAAGGCAACCAGCACAGAACAATGAACTCCATTATTTAAATGAAAAATCAACAATAGATACAAATATAGCCTATTTGCTAGTTATTTAGAGGGCAACAACACCAAGCAAGACTCTCAAACAGCCTGCAACATATTTCTAGAGGACCTCAAAAGCTACAGTATGAAAAGCTGCCTAGATTTAAATAATACAGATTTGTATACACTTTTTTGCCTCTGTATTCAGGGACAAAAGGAGGAAAATATTGCAAGAAGAAGCAGGTCACTGGCATTTGGTAGCCAGAGATCCCTTTCTGGGTTCAACAAGTGCTTAGAAGATTTTCCCATTCCACTAAGAGTCAACCTTGGAGAATACCCCCAATGTCTCCCATCCAAGTGTCATCTCTTATAAACTGAAGATGTTAGTGAAGGACAATAATCTGGCTTTGAATCATGAGACTGGTGGGATGATTTATGAATGTCACTAGCTCTCCACCTTGACTTTCCAGTTCTGTGCAATCAGAATAATTGTAACTTCCCCAACCAGTTTATATTACGAAATATCAGAATTGTAATGCACTCCATGCACTGAAGGAATTATACTGCCTGCAGAACAACCCTCCATTGTGAATTCAGGAGATACTCTGTCATGCATGGAAGCATGATGCTTAATATAGAAGGTTCAGAAAGTCAAGCAAACTTGGGTCCCTACAGTAGAAACACCCCACATCATCCCCAGTTTGGTCAGACTCTGAATACTCAACAGCTTCAAGTATTAAAGGACAGTTCAGTATAGGCACTATTATTTACTTCATTTATACCCCACCTTTCTCCCCAATGGAAACCCAAAGTTTCACTCTCCTCCATTTCATCCTCACAACAACTCTGTGAGGAAGGTTAGGCTGAGAGTGTGGGACTGGGCCCAATTCACCCAGAAAGTTTCCATGGCAGATTCAAACATGGGTCTCCCAGACCCTAGCCCAACCGTCTAACCAGTACATCACACAAACTCTCACTATGCACATCAAGCATCCATAAATACGTAACATTTAAAGACACTGGAGAGAACGCCAGAGACAGAAAAGACCTGAATTCAAGCATCTGCTCAAGTGGGGATCACTAGGTTGCTCTCAGCCTGTCTAATTTACCTCACTGTGAGGGTGAAGAGTACGAAAAGTGATAGGCTCCTGTGTGCCACCTTGATCTACTTTGAGAAAGGCTTGATATAACTGTGATATCAAGACACACTAAATGGCCAGATCAAGATGGGTAGCCGTGTTAGTCTGTCTGTAGCAGTAGAAAAGGGTCCAGTAGCACTTTTCTAACAAATTTTTAGTTACTAAGTAGTTAGTCTTTAAGGTGCTACTGGACTCTTACTCTTTTCTACTGCTAAATGCCCAGAGAAAGCCATTTAGGTATTTGCATTACCGTCAATTTTCTCCCTGCATGGTTTTCAAATCTTAGCTTGCGATTGCTGTGAACAAGTGTATG